ACGCTGCTCATGGCACGCCTTGATCATGGCCTGCACCTTGATGGGATGCGGGCTGTCGACCACCCTAAACACATTATCGCCATTGACGAAACCGAAACCGGCAAATGTCGACTGTAGGTTGTTGATGGCTTGTCGCATATCTCCCTCCGCCGAGAAGACTAGTGCCGCGATTCCGTCATCTGAGTACTTCACGTCCTCGGCTTCGCAGATCTGCATGACGCGGCGCACGACTTGCGCATCGGTAAGGCGGGCGTATCGGAGGATGGCGCACCTCGATTGTAGCGGCTCGATGATCTTGTTCGACTGGTTGCAAGCGAATGCAAATCGAGTTGTTGCACTGTATATCTCCATTGTCCTCCTCAGAGCCTGTTGTGCACCGCTGGTCATGCTGTCCGCTTCGTCGAGGATGACCAGCTTCTGCCTACCCGGGGGAAGTGTGACTTTCTTCTGCGCAAAGCCCTTTATCCTGTTGCGAACGACGTCTATACCACGTTCGTCTGAGGCGTTGAGTTCGAGGACAGCCTCCTTGTAGGCGTCACCGAGGAGTTGGCGTGCGAGACAGAGGATGGACGTGGTTTTGCCGATACCAGGCATACCGGAGATGATCATATGGGGCATGTTACCATCTTTGGCGATGATCTTGAGGCGCTCAATTGTCTCGGTGTTGCCAACGACATCATCGAGGTAGACGGGACGGTATTTCTCTACCCTGGGACAATGTTAGTCGAAGTAAGCTGGCGAAGGCCACGAGCGGTGAATTACCATGGTAGCTCGTAGTTTGCACCGCCGGCCGCATTGGGATTGGGTTTGACGCCATTGCTGGCGGCGGCTTTGGAGGACTCGGCTTTTGACATTTGGGCTGTGGTGGTTGACTTGGAGGGGTGACGCGAAACACGCGATGCTCTGCAAACGCGCTTTCACGGGTCATCCGTCTTGGGACTAGTGCTCACGTGAGCCGGGCACGATCGACGCGCAGCCGCGGCAGCGAAATATCATGCCCTTGGCGCTAAAGATAGATTCGTCCGACGCGACGTCACCTGCGTAGCACGATAGATCAGATCGGGATTTTTTCTCCAGATCACACACTGGCGTCGGTACGGATCGAGGCTATGTTCTTGCACATATCCTCCTGCACGCCTGTACAACGCGAAGTACGAAATGATCCTCTCGAGGGATCTTCAGTTAGCATGCCAGATGGGCTTTCAGGTACCGACCGATGCTGCAGGTCCTGAGGTTTCAGCCCCAAACGTCTTTTTCGAGAGGCGCAGTCATCGAGCATCGGGCGCCTGAAGAAATCACCCGATCGCTCCTCAGTCGCTAACATACGGGCTATTTGCATTGCTTTAGTAGCTTGCGACATGGCGACGGCGTCAAGACACTGGGATCCTGGTGGTTGACAGGGTGACGTATGCGGCTGACGGAAGCGGTCCGCAACCTACCAAGTCCACGCACGTCAGCGAGCTATTGTGTAGAAGCAGCTCCAGACGTTCGCTGATGAGGTTGTGAATGCTGTATGTCCTTCCTAATGTTGGCCTCGTCGGCGCAGCCTTGGAGCGCGAACAAGGCGCAGGCGGCGCACGGCGGCAAGGGATGCCAGCGTCGGCACCAAGCGCTTGGCTTTGCGATACAAACGAATCGTCTCGTAATCGAGGCAACGCCACGCCCTGCGGATCCCCCAGCAAGGCACACACAAGCCCCGTTGGCTGGCGATTTTAGGCCCGGAAATGGCGGCGGCTGCCCATGCTTGTTACGTGGGCAGGTGCACTAAAGGGCCACAGAATCCGTTACAGGTCCAGACTTGACCTCATCATACGCGTCGTCATCACAAGGCTCGAACGCCCCCTGCGCCGACTAAAGCCTCGCGCCTGCGCCTCTACTTCGCATCGACTGTATTCCTAGTCACAGCTCGTTTGTTTCTGCTTTGTCGCTATTATTCCCTTGTCATCCTCTACTCGCACTGTGCTTGGACAGCGCTCCGCTTTTTGCGACTTCAATTGCAATCTCAAACACAAGGCCATTGCCGCCCTCACCCAACTCCGACCACTCGTGCGTCAGGTTTTACCAAGCCACACCAGGGATCCTTTCACTTCCGTGGTATACATCGATCGCACATCCCTAGGATCCTCTTCTCAGAAACCACATCATGAAGTACTCGACGTTCTTGGCGGCGCAATTGGCGTCGTCGGCTGTAGCAGTGAGGCTTGCACCGCGAGAGGTAAGTGCCACTCTTGGCACCCCAGATTCACTGCGAAGCGAATCCTCCCGCAGCGCCTCGTGCGCATCACCAGAGCTTTGTCGAATGCGATGCTGACTTTTTCAGAACCCAAGAGTAGTGCGCCTGGATACCCAGCGCCGAAATGTCAACCCCGTCGCACACGACCAGCTACGGAGACGGCAAAACGTTGTCCAGCAGACGCTTGACAACCTCGAGACACTCTACTTCGCCAACGCCAGCTTAGGCACCCCCGAACAGAACTTCCGCCTCCACATCGATACCGGCAGCAGCGATCTCTGGGTCAACTCAGTGAACTCGAATCTGTGTAGTCAAGGGGGCAACCAGTGCGGCGAATCGGGCACATACAACGCGAACGACTCTTCGACATATAACTACGTCAACGGCGCATTCAACATTTCATACGTGGATGGGTCAGGCGCATCGGGAGACTACGCAACAGATAACTTCCGCCTCGGCGGCCAGACAGTAGAAGACCTGCAGTTCGGTATCGGCTACGTGTCGAGCTCACCGGAGGGTATCCTCGGAATTGGCTACACCATCAACGAAGTTGCCGTAGGACGCGCCGGATTAGAACCATACCCCAACTTGCCTCAAAAGCTAAAGGACGACGGTACTATCAACTCAAACGCATACTCGCTATGGCTGAACGACCTGGATGCGTCGACCGGAAGCATTCTCTTTGGAGGCGTAGACACCGACAAGTACTCGGGTGAACTACAGACGCTACCAATTATCCCAGAGCGTGGACAATATGCCGAATTCATCATCGCTCTAACTGGTATGGGGCAGAACGGCGAGAACGGTTCTATCTTCAACGATTCCAACGTACCGGTCCTGCTTGACTCAGGGTCCTCCTTGATGTATCTTCCCGATAATGTCGCGAGCGCTCTGTACCAGACCTTCGGCGCCCAGTACCGTCCTTCGCAGGGCGCAGCCACTGTCGACTGCGACCTTGCGAATCAGGAAGGCTCGCTTGAATTCAACTTCTCCGGTGTCACGATCTCTGTCCCACTCAACGAGCTTGTCATAGTTGCTGCCGTTAGTCGTGGACAGCCGGTGTGCATACTTGGCATTGGGCCCGCGGGCTCCTCTGTCGCCGTTCTCGGCGATACTTTCCTACGATCCGCATACGTTGTCTACGACCTTGAGAACAACGAAATTTCCCTTGCCCAGACAAATTTCAACGCCACCTCAGAGAACGTTCAGGAGATTCAAGAAGGCTCTGACGGCGTACCCAACGCTACAGGTGTTCCCAACGCAGTGTCTACTGCAGCTGTCGGCACTGGCGGACCCAGAATCGATGGTCCTAACATAACCGGCGGCGGTGGAATCATAACATCTACCGGCGCTGCCATGCCGGCCGCAACTGCAAACCCATGGGTTGGCGGTGCTGCGGTCGCTGGTGCGGGCATCCTCATGGGCTTCAACGGCTTCTGATGTGTGGACTACAATTTTCCTAATACCTGTCCAGCGTAATGACTTTTTCTATAATGCATACGTGCATCGTTGGCGTTATCAAGAGTGGCATGGATTACAACCTCTCGGTTAAGGGTTTTGCATATTCACCAACCTACCTGGAAGTAGGTCTGTTGCTTACATAGAAGCATAGCATTATCATGAATCTTTAACGTCTATTGCATCTCTCACAAAATCGCTTCTGGTTAGTGACGGTGAAAACCGATGTCGCGTTTGACTAGATGGTGACGACACCCGGGGCCTGACAGGACGCGTAGCGCCTGCCGCGTAATAGCTTGAACGCCTGGAATCACTAAGTCGCAAGTCGCGCATCATCACATGCATGAACACTTTTTACTCATCATGCCGCCATTCGGTATTTCCGCCAATAGCTGAAAATGTCTACGTACAACCGCCTTCATGCTGTAAGCTCCATACGCGTTCCCTTCGGCTTCAACTCCAACCGAGACTACATCCCAAAGAGGTCGTCACTTTGACGCACTTCCTCCGCCTACTCATTCGCATCATCTCACTGCTTAGGTTAGAAATCTCGCCACTCTTCAATGTCAAGATGGTTGGTCGACTACGTACCTGTTCCCTCAGACGAGTCTTCCGCTTCCGAAATATGATCTAGTGGATGTGGATGATGTACCAGCGCATTTCTAATTGGAGGTTCGAAAGGCAACGGCTCTGATATTTAGTCAGTATTCGGACGTCTCTGGAGCTCGATGCCATCTCTCGGGAGCGTCTGGTTCGTTGCGGAGGGTGCAGCGTTGGAGGTCTGTTGTGATGAATTCGCCGCTGGAAGAAGCTGTGTCGCGCCGTCAGCGGGTTGTGTATGAGACGTACTTGCAACGTTGCTGTTTTGCTGTCCTTGTGAAGTTCGTTGGGTGCACCGCCAGTGAACGTAAGTGTAAAGCCGTACTACTGCGTCGCGTAGGGTGTTCCGTAGCCAGGGGAAGAACCTTGGCCTGTAGCGGTGTAGTGCCGCGATGGCAGCAACGAGGACGAGGAGGACTGAGGGGATGAATATCTGGAAGAACATCTTGTTGAGCATAGTTCCTTACCGTTAGAGTGGTGTGGGATTTGTCTCGCCATGGAGAGTCTGGAAGAGAGTGATTATAACAGTCTGATCGATTGCTTGATGAAAACTCTCCAATGTTTGCTTCAACGAAAGGGTGTTCTGGAGACTACGAAAACGCTTGAGGGGTATGTAAGATGAATGAACGAGCTGGACAATCGTAACATGAAGAACATTATATGAGTAAGGAAAGAATTCCACAGATCTGATCATCATCCGCCCCTCTTCTCACACTGCATCATTCGTACCCTTACCATCGTACTTGTGCTGCTTGGCTTGTCGGAGTTGTACCACATCCTCATGGTCATTTACGTTGCCTCTCTTGTCTTTCTTGAGATACCTGCCAATGTATCCCCTCTCACCCCAAAGATGAAAAGGATCGACCAAGCCCTTCACTACTCCTCGCTTATTCCTCTTCTTCTCTGCTCTAGCCGTCTCTAACTCTGCGTCGCTCATATCCCAGAACTGTGTCTTCTTATCTCTCCCCTTGGCCAGGCCCCAAAGATCGAATGGATCGAAGAAGGTAATGATCCACGGCCTGTCATCACCCCAGCCTGGTCCTTTCCGTTCAGTCACGCCATCGCGAGCTAAGAACACAGAGTTGGAAGGAGGTAGTCGTTTACCCGGATGCCACAGATTGAGTAAAACGGTGTTGAGAAACATAATGACAGCTTCGAAGATCCAGAAGTAGATTTCATTCTGATATATGGAGGACTCCCAGCCGAGGATGTATTCTACGAGGCGATATATGCAGCGTATGGTTACGATACTCGCACTCACGTACATGACGTACAGTACGACGCGTAGATCTTGCTTCAGTACTCCGGCTTTGTTGGCACGTCGATGGAATTGTGCAGCGAGCAGACCAAAGGCGCCGAAGAGTGTTGCTTGGAGACAGAGAGAGGCGGTGACAAGATCCGAGCCGAGTTGCCGTTCTGCATCGGTTGAGCTGGAGTTGGCCATACGCCATGCTCCTTGTCCGATAAGGATTTCGCACACGCCGTCAAGGCCTATGAAGGTTGTTGCGACGCGACCTGGGTGAAGAGGTGCCAGGTAGGGTATGTAGTAGAGTAATCTTGACAGTATGAAGTAGTTGATGAGCGCGTATACCGGCGGCCCAGACATGATAAGAACGGTCGAAGCTATGAGGTAGGCTAGATTGTTAGTGTCGTATGCGCCTGCGAGACGCACTGCGAAGCCGCTGATCATCAGAAGAGCGGCCCACGGCAGGAGGACTGTTGTTCGCCATGATTTGTGCTTGCTGTGGGATATCAGTAGTGCACAACTGCGACTATCGAGGTGTTTACACTGTTTGCCACGCATGGAGCGCACCGGAGATGGAGAAGAGGATGATGAATACTATGGGTGCGGCTTTGTTTGGTGCATAGTACCAGATGCTGCCAGGCGAGTAGTCTCCCATTCCCATCTTGAGAACGACGAATACGATGTCACAGCGATAAACTAACTGATGACTGGATTCGTGTAATTGATGAGACAAGCTGTCCGAAAGTCAGAGGCAAAAAGCCGTTATTGCAGAGTAAGGGACAAGAACAATATGCGCCCAGATAGAGTCGCTAGCATACTGGTCCTTCTATACCTAGGACGCGAGATTAAATATATGGAGTGAAGCTCACGACAACACGTTCAAATAGCGCAGATGTCAGACCCCTCATAAGAAGGCCAATGCGATGAATGCGACGGCTGCACAGCGGCGCTCAGCTGAGGCGACTCTGCAAGGCATAGCACAGGGCTGAATAGGCGCATCTTCCCATCGGTAACAGGGTGAAGCGAGAGTGTACGGTTGTTGACCGGTGATGGGCAGAGGGTGGGAGGCTTGCGCAGCAACAACTTGATGGAAAGACGCACACGTGATGTGGCGGAGACCTTTGATGAGTCCTTACCGGATTTGGATTAGTCCAGGCTAGCGGTGAAGCCGCCGAATGCGCAACGTACATCTCGCGACGGCATCATTATCCGCGCACTCAAGCAAACGACGTCTATCACATAATCCGCCGTTATACCGATAATCCCATCGTGCACGTTTCATGAGTGTGGCTGGAAATGGTGCGCCAGCCCTGGGTGCCACAGAGGATGGTTCTAGGCAAACTCCAGCCGAACCTACGGTGATGGACGGGCTCTCGAGCTCTAAAGTGACGGGTATGCACCCCTGCAACTTCAACACCCCTATACTCATACTTCACAGTCGAGTACCATGACCCTTCGGGAGTCTTTTCATTGATACAAGAAGACTTGGCTGCGCGATTGCCCCTTCGTAACTTGCACTGGAAGGCTCCTACACGGCCACTACGGTCTATCGACTCCTTACATGTTGATCTCGTGCCAAGTAAAGAATCAGCACAGGCTGCAAGTGCGGCTTCGTCGACTTCAGCACCTGGCCAAGGTACGCCCAATAGGAACACGGATGAGATCTTCAGGCCGGTTAACAAAGAGAAAGAGAGACGGCATCAGATCCCAGGATTGCGCCAAACGCCTTATCTGAAGGTCTACCTTTTGAGGTGCGACGATTCAGAGACTTACAAGGCGACTGCCCGTAAGCAGGTCCGCGAGTGGGTGAAGGAACACACCCCACCTTCTCAAAGCAGTACGGCGAACACGCAGGAAAATCATGATGCGTACGAATGGTTGATTCTACATGTCGTAGTGCCCGAGACGCCGGCAGCAAGCCAGCCTCGTGGATCCTCTAATACTACAACCGGTGAGAAGGAGAAGTCTGGAGCAGCATCTAGATGGACGCGCGGGACGACGACCTTGCTGGAAAAGCTTCGCGCCGACTTCAATGTCTCATCAAAATCGGCGCCCGACCGGGTAGCTCAAATACGAGTGCCAAAAGAGAGAGTTCCACAGCACATGCTTCCAGCTGCTGCACCTGCCGCCACCCCTGCTATTACCGAGAGCCCCCAAGAACAAGAGCGTGCTTGGGCTGATGTTATCGCTAAGTTCAAGGTATTGATCCTTCTTTCGTTTGACCTCCGGGTGAGCCAGTATGAAGAAGACATTCGCAAGAACGACGCTCAGCGCTCGTTTCCTGGCTGGAACTTCAATACATTCTTCATCTTGAAGGAAGGCTTAGCAAGAGGCTTCGAAAGCGTAGGTCTGGTTGAAGATGCGCTACTTGGCTATGATGAGCTTTCCATCGGTCTAGACAGCGTCATACGTGATCAGTCGAGCGAAGACGCGCAAGGAAGCGTTTTGCTCAGCTATTCAGACGACATACATCAGACGGCAGCAGAGATCGCGCAGCAGAATGGTAATGATGGATCAGGACCATCCATACACGATGATAGACCGATCAACGCGCTGAAGAAAGATTATCGCGGTCTCATCCTTGCGAACAACATTTCGATCTTCGACTTCAGGCTTTACATCTTCGCTCGCCAGATGTTCTTGCTCTTGAGGCTTGGAAACTCAGTCTCGGCACGTTCCGACCTCGCAGCCAAGCTACAACCTCGACCGAATGCCGGCGTGCTACAGCGCTCGGCTGATGACAGCACTATTGGTATGAAGTCGGGCGGCCAAGGGAACGACTCAGAGGATTTGTTCTCTCTCGCTGAACTCTGCTCGCGTGCACTGAACTTCATTACCTTTGCTGGGCGGCTCTTGCGAGATGATCTAATTCACGGGTAAGTCCATCTGCATCTAGTCAAGACACAGCACTAATCAATCGCTGTAGTGCGAAAGCTCACGATATCACATTTCCTGATCATCTCGTCGAGAACATCGTTCGTTCGTGGACTTTCGCTGCACTGGAACAAGTCTTACGTGAAACATCTACAGGATCTCTTCCATTTACGAAGTCCTCTGGAAACCTATCGACAGGCTCTTCCGGTAAGAGTCTTTCGTTTGGTGGCCGCAACAAAGAACAAAAGATGAAGGTTTCAGAACAGAAGTCCATGATCCATCCATCCAGATCGACATCTCTGAATCATGGGCGACCAGTATCAGACATGCCATACTCACAACCTGCAGCCAATGCACAAGTCGTATTTGAGAACGGCCAGTATCACGATCGACCACTACCTGGCCAACAGAGCACGATTCCTTCTGCTAAAAACGGCTTGCAGGAACTGGCTGGTACTAGAGCGCAGCTGCTCGCAATTCAGCGACGTTTGCTCGAACATGCAGGCAAGAGCATGGGCTGGAACATTGGCTGGAATGCCATATTGGCATCTCTGAGTGCTAAAGAAGAGCTCACTGAGGTTGACCTAGAAGACGAGGAAGAGGAGGAGGATGAATCGAAGCAGAACCAGTCTCATACTGAAACGGAAGGGGAAGCTTCAAAGTCACGTCTCGGTATATCTGCTGCAGCGCTGGTTACTGCGATGACATCCATCAAGCAATTCCGACAATTCTATGAGGTCAGAAGACATGATATAACCCCGCATGAAGCTGCTAACTTTTACAGGCTTTGAGTGATCTTATCGTCAAGCACTATATGGCCGCAGGCCAGACCAAGTCAGCAGAAAGCGTGCTCGGGGATCTGGCTGCCCTCAGGTTGTATGTTTGCCACTTCTCAGGTTACATCAGGCCAAATACTGATATCACTATAGTGAACTCGGTGACTTCGCGGCAGCCGCAATGTACTTTGGACGTATGGCATCGTACTTTGCGGAGAGCAGATGGAACACGGTCGAGACAACCATGCTCAAGATGCACGCACGCTGCCTCAAGAAACTCAACCGAAAAGATGAATATGTGCGGACGGTACTTGATCTCTTAGCAAAGTCTGCGGCGAGCCGAATGGCGTTCAAGAGTGCCTCGAAACGAGCCAGTACAACCGACGCAGGTGACATGCCTGGTGTCTGGCTGAACGACGACAAAGTGGACACTACTGATGTATTCCATGAACTCATCAGCTATTCGCAACAGCTACCCTATGATGTCACGGTCCAAATGCCGAAATACTTCGGCGACATCTCGGTAGAGCCATACGTTCGACACTACGATGATAAAGATGGGTTTCAGTTACGCCTTCAATTCAGACACCATCTCGAAGACGAAATTGAAATACGCGCAGCCAAGATCCGCTTGGTCAGCGCAGTTTCGAACCAAGCCAAGGACATATGGCTCGAAGAGACGGGGGCTATACAGTTGAAGAAAGGCTTGAATCGCATGTGGATTGGCTGCAACGTGAACACGATCGGACCGTACATGGTTGACAGGGTTGTCCTAGAAGCAAAGCGTATCGTCTTCGTACACGAACCTTTCCAAAAGGCCGAGGCGACAACTCCACTCGGTATCATCACCTCGGTCTCTGCGCATTCTCTCAAGGCTGCGAAGAAAGCTCGGATACTGTGCTTCCCGCGTAGTGAATCCTTCCAAGCCCGGATCTATCTCTCGCACTTCATCCATATCGACAAGCCGCGGCACATAGAGGTCGAGTGCTCAGCTGGCTGGAATGAGATTACGCGCGCAGAAGTCCGGCTAAAGTCTGCCTCTGCAGGTTTACGGCTGCGAACCGCAAATGCAAGCGTGGCTTCAGGAGAGATCAAGATCGATGATAGTAAGCCAACGCCGGGAGTCATCGCTATTGGGGCCATGCCGGCCGAAACTACAGCGACATTGAAGGTGCCTTACGATATGGAAACGATATTGCAAGACCTTACTGTCAAGATCGACGTCGACTACTTTACTGCCAAGGGCCAGTTTCAGTACACCTCCACCTTCGTCATCCCCGTTGAGTTGCCTCTAGATGTCAACGTCCACGACCACTTCAAGAGCAAATCACTGTTCTCGAAATTCAACATCAAGACGGCCAACCATGTGCCGCTGAAGCTTCTAGATGTCGCACTAGAAGGATCAGAAGAGTTCGACGTCCATGCGCCAAGGCGTCCGAAAGAGGCTGTCAATGTTTTCCCGAAGCAGCCTGTCGCCGTGACATACAAAGTCACTAAGAAAACGATGGACGCTGCCAAGAAGCGACAAAGCCGAATTTCCACCACCGGCAGTTTATCGTTGGCTGTTGAGTACAGGTGCTTGAACGAAGACGTTCTTGAACGAGTGCGGGTGATGTTTGCTGAGGCTGTGGAAGACAGTCCAGTTCATCGATTGGCTCGTTTGCTTACCGAACATTTTGCTAGTCAACTAGAGCAGCATATCTTGCCATC